GAATCCATCTGGGTGGAGCGACCTGCCGAGGCCAGTAAAGAGGCTGAGGCTGTTGGTGCCGAGGCGGGGTCCAGCAAGCCTGCCGACCCTCCTCAGGAGTAGATCGTCTCGGCCTCCTGTTGTTTCTTGCTTTCGCCCTTTTTCGAATCAAATTACTGTACTGAGCCGAGGCATATACACCTCGGCTCTTCATCAAACTTTTATTTCAGTGAAATGAGGTTTCATTAAGACCCGAGTTACTCTTTCCGAAGTCCCTATACTTAGAGATTTTAATTAAGTTTCAGTTTTAGTTTTGGTCGTTATCTGAGTTTCTCAAGTCTTAGTAATTTCTTGCTTACACAACGGTTTACGAGCCGATCAATTCAGCTCGGCGGTGTGTGTTTGGGATAACCAGGTTCCTACGAGCTGACCATTGCTTCGCGTGTTTGTAAAAATATAACTTATCGTAGGTCGTTTAGCATAGGTCATACCACGTAAAGTTTCCTTGGCCCCCATTTGACATAGGTCGGTAGTGGTAACCACTCTAACGAATAAAGTCAAATTTTGCACAAGTCATTGGAGATCGGCTTTCATTAATGAATGAAATTTTTACACGTCGGATTACACACATTTCATTGATAATAAACTCGCAAATGCTCGGCATTCCATGGGTGAGGGAGTTGTCTCCCGTTTAAGTCGGTCAGCAAATACGCTCCAGGTCGGAGTGTTCTTAAGACTCGGTACGGACCTTCCCAATTCGGCTCGAGTGCTCCGACATGATGCATTACCTTCTTGAGGACGAGGTCGCCAGGCTTGAACGTTCTAACTTTTACTCTGGCGTTGTAGTACCGAGCCATACGGTTCTGATATTCAGCTAGCCGAAGCTGGGAGTAAGATCTTTTCTCCTCGAGGAGGTCAAGGTTCACAAGTAGAGCTTCAGTGTTGGCTTGCTCGTCGAAATTCTCAACTCGGGGTGTTGGCATGCCAACTTCCGCAAGGACAACAGCCTCCGACCCGAAGGCTAGGCCGTATGGCGTCTCACCAGTAGATCGGTGGGGCGTAATTCGGTAAGACCACAATACCTCTGGTAACTCTTCTGCCCACCGAGCTTTCAGAGATTCCAGCCTCTTCTTCAGACCACGCTTGATGATCTTGTTGACGGCTTCAACTTGCCCATTAGACTGTGGATGGGCAGGCGACGAGCTGAGGTGACGTACACCGAGCTGTTGACAGAGTTGATTAAACCGGGCACCGTCAAACTGCTTTCCATTGTCAGTAATGATGACGTTCGGTATACCGAACCGACATATTATGCTCTTCCATACAAAGCTGACGACCTTCGCCTCGGTAATAGACGTCAGAGGTTCCGCTTCCACACATTTGGTGAAGTAATCCACAGCTACTATGGCGAACTTCAACTGCCCCTTCCCCATCGGTAGTGGGCCGATCAGATCTATCCCCC